CCCCCCCCCCCGGAGGGCGCAGGCAAGAAGACAAGGGTGGCTGGCGTACGCCCGGCGGCCGGACCGGCACAGCAGGGCCACAGCGCGGGCGAATGCCCAGCCAGGCGTGGGGCATTTCTAGTGCGCCGTGCGCGCTCGCGCGCCTCACCAGTAGGTCATGTGCAGCCCGGCGCCCCAGGCCTCCATCGAGGCCTCCAGCGCCAGGGCCGAGCTCCAGGCCTGGGTCGGGCAGGAGAGCGGCGTGGCCGGATGGCCGGACAGGTTGGTCAGCTCCGGCAGCCCGTGCCAGCGCCAGTCGGTCTGCAGGGCCCCGGCCGCGGCGGCCGGGCTGTGGTCCTCGGTCGGCGGGATGAACATGTGCGCCCGGTGGCTGCGCATGATGAGCGTGCGCCGCGCGCGACGGAACTGCCCCGCGCGCCGGGGACGGGGGGGGGGGGCGGCGAGGCGGATCACCAAGGGGGAACACCTGGTCAGTACATGGCGCGTGGGGGGGGCGGCGTGCGCGCGTGGGTCCCTCCGCCCGGGGTGGGGGGACACCCCCGGCGGCCGGGGCGCACGTACCGAGCGCGAGAGGTTCAGCGCGGCCGTCTCGTCGATGGCCTGCGCGCAGTCGGTCCCGGTGTAGCCGGCGCGCAGCTGGCCCACCAGGTCCGCGCGCGAGAGGCCGAACTGCCCGAGGTGCGCGTCCTCCTCGGCCGGGGTGGTGGCCTCGAAGCCAGACGACGAGCCGGACGGCGAGAGCCCCGACTCCCCGGGCAGGTACATGCGGATGGCGCGCTGCACCGGGCTCGAGATGCGCCGGTTCTTGCCCGCGTGCGAGGGGGCCACCAGGACCGGGTCGAACTTGATGGCCGACAGCCAGAAGAAGCCGGTGGGCCAGAGCCACTCCTGCGTGTGTGTGTGTGTGTGTGTGTGCGTGTGTGTGTGCATGTGCATGTGCGTGTGCATGTGCGTGTGCGTGTGCGTGTGTGCGTGTGCATGTGCATGTGCATGTGCATGTGCGTGTGCGTGTGCATGTGCATGTGCATGTGCGTGTGCGTGTGCATGTGCATGTGCGTGTGCGTGTGCGTGTGTGTGAGTTTCGGTTGCGTGTGTGGGGTGGTCGGTCACGCGTGCATCGGTGCGAGAAAGTGCCGCGCGCGCGGGGGGGGGGGCGGCCGCGAAAGAGGGGAAAAGAACACCCGAGAGGCGCCCTGCCGGGCCACAGCCCAGGCCAGGCACCAGGCCGAGGGGGGGGGGGGGGGGGAAAAAGGACCGGAAGAAAGCCCGGCGCCGGGACACGCACCGGACCCTGGTGATAGTTGAAGCCCCCGTCGACGAAGGGGTCCCCGGTGGCCCCCTCGCTGCCCAGGTAGAAGGGCCGGAAGCGCCAGTCGGCCGGGTCCAGCGTGCGCATGCCGGTGCCCGACCGGAGGATCCACTGGTCGTGGGTGTAGGCGCCGGATTGGATGCGCGCGGCGCGGGCGGCCTCGCCCCGGCCGCGGGTGCTGGCCGCCAGCGCCGCCGCCGTCTGGGCATTGAGGCTGGTCGGCTGGCCGGGCTTCGGCCGGAGGATGGCCGCCGTGGCATTCAGCCCGACCAGCGCGTGATTCGGCTGGAAGAGGTCCGGCGCCACGGCCATGGCCACCGACACATTGGGCCGGAGCTGGTAATCGCCCCAGCCATCGCACGAGCCGAAGGTGTCCTTGTAGATGCCCCGCCGGTGGACAAACCGCGCGTCCACCATGTACGCCCCGTCGTCCGCCGGCTCGGCCGGCACCCAGAAGCACGCCTCGAAGGTCACCTCCAGCAGCCGGCACCACTCCACGAAGGGCACCCACAGCCAGCGCCCCTGCAGCGGGCACCGGTCCGGGTCTTCCGAGCTGCCGGTGGTGTCGATCCGGCCGATGCCCGGCGGGCCGGCCGCCAGCGGCGGCGGCGTGGTCGGCGGCGTGGCCGTGGGCGCCATGCCGCCGCCCAGCGACCCGGTCGCGCTGGCCGGCGGCCCGATCGGCACGCGCTCCGCATGCCAGGTGGCCGGGTTGTCGGTCAGGTCGTCCGCGACCCCGGCCGCCCGGCGGCCCTCCTCCCACAGTCGGCGGACATTGGACGGGACCCAGCCGGCCAGCGGCGGCGGCGGCGACGGCGGCGGCGCCAGTGACGCCGACCCCGGGGCCGGCATGCCCACGCCCGGGGCATGGCCCTCGGCCGGGCGGGCCTTCTTGTCGGCTGGCCGGCCGCCGCCGTCATCCCCCCGGCCGGCATCCTGGCCCGGGGCCCGGCCCTCCTGCCACAGGTCCTGGTACTCGGCGGTCGACCGCCAGCGCCGGGCCCCGAGGAGCTGGTGCCGGCGCCAGGCGGCCGGCGGCTGCCACTCGCCCGGCAGCGCCTCCAGCCGGCCGAGGATGTTGTCCACGCGCAATTGCACCGGCTCCGGCAGCGGCCGGGCCAGGGCCGCGGGCAGCCCGGCGGCCAGGGCCGCCTCCGGCCGGACCACGCACGCCGGCACGCCATCCACCCGGATGGCCCCGCACCGGTGGGCAAAGGCCAGGAACCGCAGGGTGGCATACGACAAGCCGGCCAGCTCGATGGCGGCCCCGTCGCGCGGGGTGGCCGGCACCCCGCGCGTGCCCCACCGCGCCGACTCGCCCATCTTGTCCATCCAGGTCCCGGCGTTGAGGCGATTCCCGCCGGCCACCAGCCCGGTGCGCCAGTCGACATACGCCTCGACATTGAAGCCGGGCCCGTGCATCCGGTCGTCGATCTGGCCACCGGCGCGGCGCTCCCGGAATTGGATGGTCCCGGCCGCATGCCGGGTCACGATCTCCACCAGGATCTCCCCCAGGGGGGTGGGCTCCGGGGCCAGGCGCGCGCCCTCCGGCCAGTCCGGGTCCAGGTCGTCATCGGCGAAGCGCCGCCACACCCGCCACCCGAGCACCTCCCGGGCGGCGCGCTGCAGGAAGGGCACCCGCCCGGCCGGGCCCAGCCCATGCCAGCTGCTTTCCAGGGCCCGGAGGAAGGACGCGTCCAGCCCCGGGCCCCGGGGCTCGGCGCCCGGCCCCGCGGACAGGCTCCCCTGCCAGTGCATGAGCAGGGCCCGGGCCACGACCGTCTGCGACACGGCGTACGGCAGCCACCAGGAGGCATCGCGGCAGTTGTACCGCGGCCGGCGGCCGCCATCCGCCAGGTTGGGGATCAGCCCGTGCCGCAGGAGCGACGCGATGGCCAGCAGGTGATCGCGCGCCGCGCGCATGCGGCCCAGCAGCAGCAGCAGCCCGCGGAAGGCTGCCACCGGCGCGCCGCGCCCCATGGCCCCCGGCGTAAAGGGTGCCCCCGTGCCCCATGGCGTGCCATGCTGATGGTCAGTCTCGCGTCGGGGCCTTCACATGTGTGCGATTGTGCGAGTGCGCGCGATTGTGGCCCGGTGTGCTTGTGTGTGTGCGCGCGCGAGCGGTCAACGAGCCACGCCCCTCCAAACGAGGCGTGCTGCATGGGCGCGTCCGTTTGTCCTGGCGCGCCCAGCAAAAGACGAGCACACAGGCCCCGATGCGCGTTCGGCCGTCTGTACATATGTACACCGGCGCGCGCGCACACACACACACACACACACACACCGACACACAGGCACACCCCCAAGCCCCAGCCCCAGCCAAGAGGCCCAACGCACAGATCAGCACATCGCGCCCCCACACCCGCAGGTACTCCGTGGCGAAGTGCGGCAACCCGGCGGCCATGCTCGGGGCAAAGCGGATGGCCGGCGTGCCGGCCACCGGCCCGGCGTCCGCGGTCCCGGCCAGCACCGCCCCATCCGGGCCGCGCTCCACCGGCACCGGCAGGCCCCCGGTGCGCGTCCAGCCCACCAGCTGCACCGAGGTCAGGGCCAGGGCCCGGACCAGCGGGTCCGGCGACTGGCGCACCCACGGCGACATGGCCTCAAAGCAGCGGTCCACGCAGCGCCGGTGCAGGGCCCGCACGCTGTTCAAAAAGAGCCGGCCCGCCTGGCGCCGGTGGATCCACAGCCCGTGCCGGGCCCCGCCGCCGGCCCCCGCGTCGAACTCCGCATCGGCCAGCGTCCGCCAGCCGTACGCCAGGGCGTCCGCCAGCCGCAGCAGGGCCCGGGCGTCGGCCCGGGCGTCGCCCTCCGGCGCCCCGGCCCCGATGGAAAATTGCTCCGCCTCGGCCTCGCCACCGGCCGGCGCCGGGAGGTCCTCCGTCCGCACGAGGGCCAGCGATTCGTCCAGCAGCACGGCCGCGCACCGGCGGATCCGGTCCACCAGGTGCCGGGCCATCCACCGGCCGCGGCTGACATGGTAGTGCGTGGCCCGCACCAGCCCATCCGCCCGGGCCGCCTCGTCCACCCCGTCGTCCGGGTACATCAGCAAATCGTCGCGCCACTCCTGCGTCAGTGACAGGTACGGCCGCGGCTGGCCGCTGATCGGCGTCGCCCGGCCATACGCCTCCGACGAGTAGGGGTAGATGTCCCCCGGGTAGAGCAGCGCGTCGATCATCCCCTGCAGGCCGCAGTAGATGAGCGCCCGGCTGGGCGACCCGTAGCCCATGCCCGGCACCTCGTACGCCCCGTACGAGGGGTCTGCCCGACCGGGGGCCCGTCACCGCCACCGGTCCCCCCGCCCGCCATGGCAGCACCCAAGGGCAGGCGCCGGTTAGTCATCCGACATGGCATGTGCTCTTCTCGCGCGGCCGGGCGTGCCGCCCCGCCACCGGCCACCCAGGTGTGCCGTCGCCCCCGCCCCTGCCTGCCCCCGCCCCGCACGCCGTCTGCATGGCACATGAGTGCGTGCGGGTGTGCGCATGTGCGCCTGGACGCCCGCCTCCATGGACGCACCGATCAGATCGCGCTCCTCCTTGTCACACCGGTACAGGACCAGATTCAGGGCGGTGAGGCTCAGCCGCGAGCAGGCCTCCTCCACCGGGCCGGCGACGCCTGGCGCGCCCGGCGCATCACACGCCGAGGCGTGGTGGTGTCCGTGCGCGGAGCGCATGTGCCCATGCCCAAGGCAGGTAGAGGGGGGGGGGGGGAGGTGGGGCGGGCGGCGTAGCACGCGCGGTTAGTGCATGCTTACATTTGCATATATATATATATGTACGTATGTGTGCGTGTGTGCGTGTGTGTGCGCGCGTGTGTATGCGCGCGTGCGTGTGTGGCCTCCAGCCTGGGACCCAAGCCCGGAGCATGGCAGCGCCCCTGCTGTCAGGCAGAGCCCGGCCCCCGCCCAGGCCCCCCGCCGACGCCCCCGCCGCCGCACACTGTCTCTCTCTCTCTCTCACACACACACACAAGGACACATGGACACGCAAGGGGAGGGCCCCGCACGCACCGCCCAATTCCGGGAAACACTCATCGAAGCTGGTCCAAGGACAGGGGGTCGGCGGGTGCACCGGCACCGGGACCAGGTGCTCGGGGCTGGCCGCCGGATTGGCATCCTCCCGGTCCAGGTAGAGCTTGACCGGGGCGCGCAGGAGCAGCACACCGCCCGGCGGCAGGCGCATCGAGGTGATCCGCGTGAAGAGGCCGCCCTTCTCCTCGTGCATGTGCAGGCGGTCCTCTGTGCGCGCCGCCACCCGGCCGTCAGCGCAGAGCCGGAGGGCGGGAGAGGGGGGAAAAAAAAAAGAACGGCACAGCCCCGGGCCGGGGAAGGTGAGTGACGTGTCCCGGTGCGTGTGCCTTCCCCTCGAGCGCCCCCCCCCCCCCCGGGTGCCCGGGGAAAGGCCCACAAGCAAACGCAAGTGGACGGGCCTACGTACCATCCCAGATCTTCTGCATGCCAAGATCATGCACGCGGGCCCAGTCCACCGGGCCGATGGGGCCATGCCCGCCGGCCGCCGCCTGGGCCTCGAGCCACTTGCGCCGCCTGTCGGTGTCCAGCTCCACCCAGGACATCATGACCGGCTGGAAGCCGGTCTGCTCCAGGGGGATGTCCGCGCTGACATCTGGATGCCGGGCGGGCAAGCGCGCGCACGCGAGTCCGGAGCAAGGCACGCAGCGAGGCAGGGCGCCAGCGAAGGACCGAGAGAGGGGACAGCGTGTCAGTCCCCATCGCACGCACGTGCACACCTCGCCGGGGTGCACACACACACACGCGCGCGCGCACACGGCCCGATGCACGGCGCCAGGCAAAAGAACAGGCCCACCGAGCACGTACGATGGTCCGGCGTCTGGTCAAACCCATCGCCGAAGGCCGGCCGGGCCACCAGCACAAAGGCCGAGGCACAGGTCACGGCGAATTCATCGTCCGCACCCCCGGTCATCGGGCCGTCCGGCTCGTTGCACATCCCGCGGCACTTGGCCGCCATGCAGGCCGGGGCCTCGCGCCGCCACCGGCGAATGACGATGAACTCCCCGCGCTGGGCCACCGACGTGGCCCAGTTCCCCACGGCGTGGACGCCGGAATCCCGGCAAGGGGCCAGCCGGGCGAAGAGCCGCATGAGCTTGGATTTGACTGTCGCCCGGGCGGGGGGGGGGGGACGCACGCCGCCGGGCCGCGAGGCGCAGGCGCAGAAGCACGTCAGCGAGGCCGTCATGCACGGGGGCAGGCAGGAGGCCGAGTCGCGAGCACGCGCGCCCGGGAATACGCACCGGGCTCCAGGGCCGCGAGGGATGTCACCACGGGGTACTGCTCGCCGGCGCGGGGAGGGGCACCACCGCGCCGCCATCAAAACCGGTGTCAGTGCCGGCCACACACACACACACACA